GTGTGTGTGTGTGTGTGTGCGTGCATATATATATATATATATACACATACACACACACACACACCCACACATACATGCACTGGGAAAAAGACCCATCATAAAAGATTGGATTGAGTACCATCATTATAATCTCAGCATATGTGACCATTTATAAAATGACTCGGAACAGGGATTTCATTTCTCTAGTATACACAGTTTCTTGTTTTTAGTGTAAATATTGCTGTTTGATTTGATGTGCTTCTGGAATGTGCATCATGCCTCGCATAAGACATTCTGTGTTCATCCAGTATTTCATATCTTATTATTTGGAGTCTGAAAGGAAGGGAGGTTTATTTGGACGCTTTTTCTGCCGTATCGCTGGCTTTTTAATCTGAAATCTACCTGTGCATGCGGACGGAAACCCTGAATCACAATCATTCCTTGCAGTAAGAATTACTTGTTTTTTTTACAGAATATCTTCTGCCTCTTTCATCATCAGAGCAGAGACTCATGCACTGCGAGTGACATTTTCTAAAGTGATTTATTAAGGGATTTGCCTTTTTTTTTTTTAACTACATATACATATTAAGTCTCCCTGAACACTCTTAGTTATAAACAAATAAATTATCTAACAGCTGGATAGTACACTTAAACCATAATAAAAGACTTATAAAAATAGGCTCTGGGTTTAAACTACTGTAATCCTGGAAAACAGTAATATATCCTCCTGTCTGTGAAAAACAGAGAAGGAAAAAAAATCCTGACTATGCAGCAGGATGCTGGGAAAACCTTGTCGCATAAAGTGACGACTTAGTGATGTGTGCGATGGGGCAACAGACACGCAGGTGGCCAATTTCAGAGATGCGTTTGCATTTTACGAACATTCAGCACATATGAAAGGGTGTCGAGACCAAATGAGAGTGAGGTGGGCTTCCCCCTTTTCCGGAGCTGTCTGTCTGATGCTGTGTATTGACCCTAGTGACCACTGGGAGCATTGAGCTGACAGCACCGACTCTTTTCCTATTTCACGCATTGATGCATTTCCTGAGAGGGGAAAAAATTATATTACAGCCCATAAATCAGTACTGTTCTATTCATTGTACCTTCATCTGGTGTAAAATTCTCTGTCACCTGTAATGTAGAGGGAGCAATTTCTACAGGGGGAATCTAATATTCTTCCTCTCCGAACCTTTGAATAGAACAGGCATGTAACTGAATTAGTTAAATATATTCTCCTCGGGGTCTGCTGGATCCGGTGGTCTTTCTGCAAATAAAACCCCGTGTGATCTTACAGCAGTATACTGCGATGGACGCGTGTCGGTGGTTATATATCAAGATATCGCGGGTTTCGGTTTACAGGAGATCCTGAACCGAACTTCACGCAAAGGCTGCCTTCAGAGAAAGTAATACAGTAGTAAGACAGATCGGCATGAAAACGAGATCGGTTAATAAACGAATCAGTAATAATGGTCGTTATAGTGGAGAGCAAAACTTGGCAGTCATCTCCCTGCGTTTGCTATCGGGCTTTAATCTTCGCGGTTTTCAGCGTAGCTGTCGTTTTATGCTCCGGCTGCTGCTGCGGTCGCAGGTAATAAACCAGACACCTCCAACCAGGGCTTCGGTTATTAACGTGGAAACCGTAGTATTAGTTTACTTCTGAATAATCGAACTAAGTAACTGTAAAATGTAACGTATCAGCAGGGTTACAAGCTCTCACGCATCTGGCGTGAAACTCACGCTTTCAGATGCTCACGCAAGAAATCCTACCTATATCATTCCATTAAAAACCTAAAATTAGCTACATCAAAATCGTTAGGGTACTAGAACAACGGAGCTGCCTGATATTGTACATCATTCGCGTTTGTTAGGGAGCAGCTGTCAGTTTGCAGGAACTCCCGGGAGCGGTGGGATGTCTGCCTTTATAGTATAACTGTGCCTGTCTAGCTATTTAAAGCATACAAAACCCCTTCAATTCTCCCTTAGCAGTAGCACTGACCCTAAGTTGCACCGCAATTTATTATCTATTGTAGGCTACAGTATTTAACATTAGTTCCATAATCAAATTATAATTATGTATATTCATCCATCCTCAAACCACTTATAGTGATCAGAGTCATATATTAGCTGTTACTTGCCATTGACATATTTGCTAGTGGTTCTGTCCTGCATGTACTTGAGATTATCAGTGATAATGAAAGGAGTACTCTGTTATGTTAAGTTAAAGGCTGTGAACTATATTTAACGGAAAGGGCCTTGTTCTATATTTGTAGGGGAAAAGTGCAACAGTTCTCGTGTCTTTGCCTGTGCGCAGCGTATATGTATGAATATAAGCAGCCCCATTTACATTTTATGCACATGTTGCATACGGTTGTAACAGCATTTCGCATTTAATGCCTCAGGATTGTGTGCTTTTCTAGAAGCATTGTAGATGGTCACAGCTGAGGCCACTAAGCCAGCTCTTCGGGTAATTTATATCCCTGTGCTGCTGTTAATCACTAAGCTAGCACTGAGTCAAGGCACTGCGGCACATGACCAACAGATGCAAAAAAAATAAAAAACCCGCGACAACAAATGTTCTTGAGAACATGGGCGTAGCTAGAACACTGCTTCCTGTAGAAGCATATAGAAGCATTGAATCCCTTTTTTTTCCACATTGTGGCATAACAAGTGGTTCCATATAGCGCATTCTTCACTCCCAGCCGAAGGAACAGCATTAGGAAAACAGACGCAAGTCCACCCAAAACCGAGATCAGAAAATGCAGTTCTTGTCGAACCCTTGCTGCCCATGAAGGCTTTCTTAGGTGGGGGCTGGGACAGACATGTAACTGCTCTCTCAAATGCTGCCGAGAGCAACCACCACATGACAAAGGAAAAGGTAGGCGGGAGAGAGCAGAGCAAGCTACATGACTGACCTGAGAGAGACTTCTTCCAGATTGTTTATAAGAGTCAAAGCAAGACGGAGTCAGGAGAGGCTTGGGAGGGCAGACAGAGCAAGAGGGTGCACACTGTAGGAAACCCTTTGGCATAAAGGCAGATTAGAGGAGCTTTCATCCAGAAAAACCACATATCAATAGATGTAGTTCAGCCTAGCTTATGTCAACTCTGTGAATGCTACTATTATTATTATTATTAGTAGTATTTAATTGTCATTGTTGACACACCATAGCACTCTCAAATGTGCCCTCTGCATATACAACATAGCAGGGGGCAGCTAATTCAGCACCGGGGGGGTATAGTGCATGAGAGCAGTACCTTACTTAGCATACCTCAGTGGTACCTCGCTGGTCAGGGATTGGAACCAGCAACCCTTTGCTCACAAACACACTTCCCTAACCATTTGGCCACCACCGCCCATTAGCAAAAATAACATTAAATTGGAAAAAGTAACTTTTTCCCTCTGATGATTGAATGGCAAGTAACTTTTAAAATTGAAGATTGCTGTTTGTTGGGAATTGGGTAACAGTCAGCAGTAAATAACAAATTTCTTTATGAAGATTGTGTGGCTCTTTCAGAAAGGCCCTTTGATCAGCTGAATACATACTGTATGACTATGGCAGAGTGAAATCATGATGAGGTTATTCCTGTTCCTTATGCACCTCTGTGTCTATGTTTGCCATCCTTACGGCCGAGGACCCCATCGACACACAGACCATTAGCCTTGTTCTCTGACGATGTCTCCCTGAGATGACCTTCATAGGGACCCTTAATGCCATCATGCAATTACTGCTCTTCTCCAGCCTGACAGAACATTATTTTTGCGTGTATCTGTTTTTTTTCCAAGCTTATGTCTCCAGATCTTTCAGCCATGAACAAATGTACATAATCACATCTCTTTCTCTGTCCTGTGCATGTTTTCCTACTTAGGAAATCAATTTTTTTATTCAAACAAATCCTCTCATTTGTAAACCTAAGTTCAAAAAGTTATAAACTTCTGAATTCTTTTGATTCTGCTCTAAAAATTCAGAATATCAAGCCATAAGGCAGGCTGTAATATATATTAAGCATTCAAATACAAAACAGATCTATCCATCTTCCAGCCCGTTATTCACTACAACCCCTACATCAGGGCTATTCAAGTCACGGTCCTCAAGAGCCGAGCACTGCTGGTTTTCCAGCCTTCCTTTACCTGTGAGCCAGGTGTGAAGCCTCTGGCCAATCAGAATCAGTAATTATTAAACTAACTACCTGGGAGAACTGAAAACAAGGCCTGGATTTGGAATCAAGGGCCTGAATTGAATAGCCCTGTCCTGCATTATCCTGACAATTAGTTCATGAAAGCTGCTAAGCTCAATGTTAAAAAAAGAATAAAATATTGACACTTTTCAAGACGTGTAGGTTAAAAAATCTCTGCCCTGTTTTTGCAGGAATCACTAATTTGCTAAGAGCACAGGCAGCATTTACATTCTATATTCTAATGCTAATGAGATGTCATGATAAGCAAACAATAATCTTTTCCATCCATGTTACTGCAAACTTGAGCAGAAGATCTCTCACATGTGCATGCACCACCTGCTAGGATGTGAGCCCCACAAAGAGGCAACACAGCGATTCCTCCCACTCCTGCCTCCAAATACTGGTGCCATGACAACCCAGCAGCCTCACCAAACCAAATGAGATTACGTTTGTAAATATCAACGGTGAAGCTTTAAACACATTAGCAATTCAGAGATGAAGCTCTAAGAATACAACCATATCACCGAAAGCCATGTGATGAAAGACACGGATGGTATAGTCCTTGAAAGCAGTGAGATCAACTCGGTCATATTTCCCAAGAGTACCTTATAGTGCATGTAATATGAAACAGAAAACATGCAATCATTATTAGAGGGATTACCCAGTTTTTTGCTGTTATTTAAGCATTCAGATACTTCCAGGACAACATATACAAGTGTATCGCTCCATTCATCTTCCAACTAACAATCCATCACAGTACACAAACCCAGACACACACACACACACCACTGGCAAATCCGAGACTCCAGCTGCCTTGTCTTGGTTGCTGATTGGCACACTGTCCTTACCCAGCCAGCCTGCCCCTGAGTTGGGGATGCACATGTCTGTCTCGGCGCTGGGCAGCACGAAGCCGACCACAAACACCTCCACGCCGTCCGACATGAGTGCCAAGCCCAGCACGAAGAAGAGCTGCCACTGGAAGCGCCCGTGGCCACACTCCTGGATGATGAGCTCGTACTGCTGCGCCAGCTCCTCCTCGTCGGCCTGCCGCTCCGACTCCAGCTCGCTGCGCTCCTTCAGCGCGTCCGGCACCTGCTTCCCGGCGGCGAGCTGGCTGTCCTTGGGCTGCCCCCCATCAGGAATGCCCTGGTACTCCCCCTCGTAAATCTCGTCCTCGTCGTCGTGGCCCTCGGTGGCGTCGCTCAGGGCCTCCTCCTCCTCGCCGGTGGCCTCCGTGTAGTTGCCGTCCTGCCCGTAGTAGTCGTCGTCTTCCTCATCCTGGAAGCGGTTGTAGGAGCGCTGGGAGTACTCGTCCGAGGCGCGGTCCATCATCTTGTTCACCTTCTTCGCCGCGTGCCGCTTGGCCTCCTTGGCAATGTCCTTGGCGCCCTTAGCCAATGAAGTCCTGTCCTTGTACGTATCGTCCATCTTGCCTTAAACTCTTGAAGCTTTGTTGGAGGGATCAACATACAACTTTTTGGAGACCGGGTGTTGGTGCTTGAAGGACTGTGGGAGAAGAAAAGGCAAAGAAATGATGATTAGCATTAAGCTGTACCGATGCTGCTACGCTCCGCATTCACACAGACCATGTGGTTCCCCCGGCTCCCACCAGGTTATTGGCGGCAGCATTTAAGCATGTTGACTCTCTGTTGGTGGTGCAGAGGTTAGCAGTTACCTGCCACCTCTGACTCCAGGGTCTCTGCCACGGTGCTGTGTGTGTGTGGAGTTCGCATGTTCTCCTTCTGTCATTGTGCGTTTTTTTCTGGGTACTCTGGTTTCCCCCCCAGAGCCCAAAAAACATGCTGAGATTAACTGAAGTTACCAATTTGTTCCCTAGGTGTGAATGGTGTGTGTGCCCTGTGATGGGTTGGCAGCCCATCCTGGGTTGTGCCCGTAGCTTCTGGGATAGGCTCTGGACCCGTGTGACACTGCATAGGAAAAGTGGGCACAGATAATGGATGGATGGACTATTTCTGTTCATAATGCTCTATCTATATATGGTGAGAGTGTGTTTACGATCCAAGGGACTCCCCATTTCTTTATCCTCAGCTGGATTTCCTAACAGAGTGTTTTCCCTTTTCTTTAGGATCAAAGAAAACTAAGTAAAGTGGTGAATCGTAGTGAAATCTCTTTACATGGGGTATCTGATTTTATTAAAATGACTATGCAATCTGTGTAATATTTTTGCTCATTCAGACTAAAAGCAGAGTGCCTTTGGTCCTTCTGGACTGCAAAACAAGCATAATGGCAAACCATTGGCTTATAGTGCTCGCTTTAGGGCAGGAGGCCTGGACTAGAAAAACATAAGGAAACAGACCCTCAGACAGAAACGAGTCATGATGGACCGTGTACTAATGGACTACACAGGCGTCATTGTGGTCCATATTGTCCATGTACTGTATCAGATGAACCATCCTGAAACGTGTGGTCCTGTCACATGGGTCACCCCTGTGTGGCTCATCTTATGCTGATAAAATGATGAAGGTCTTCTTTAATCACTGGCTCATTCAGCCGTGACAATGACAGAAACAGTCATAGAGTCTTTAGTTCCACATGACAAGCACCATCTCAAAACCTGGGGATTTTCATGTGATAAACTTTCCAGTTAATTTATTAAATAAACGTAATCACAATATCACACACTAAATCTGTGTATGAGCTTTGAGGATAATTCCTATAAACTGCTTTTTAACAACCAACTACTGATCATTACTGTGTTGTATCAGCCAATGGTAGTTTTCATTTTATTTATCTTAGTATTTCATCATTTAGTAATCTGTCAGATATGCAAACATATTCATGATAAGGCTATTCATACATATATTTTGATGACTGCTTGCTAGTTACATGCTGGACCCATTCCAAAAAAATAGATAGCCTTATTAAAAATCACTGGTCGTTCAGGGTCTGCTTCATTTTATTATTGTCATAAGAGTCTTTCCAGTATTATTTTATTGTGGCTGCTATACTTTTTCATTCTGTTCTGAAAGACATTAAAACATGGTTTTACAGCAGGACGTGATATTTAAGGTGACTGCGGTTCTCCCATTGTTCTGGCTGAAGAAGGAAGCACCATTAAGCTCTGATCTTGCATAAATCTTTCTGCTGTGAAACTGCCCATAACGGCATGGAATGTAAATGATGAATTTACTGTGACACAGTTAGCTCAGTCTTACCCAGTTTTACATCACGTGAGTCAGCAAAGGGCAAAGTGACAGATTGAGGCCGAAAAATCCATGCATAACTCCAGACAAAGAGTTAGTTACACTCCTTAAATGAGCTGAGTTTGCTTTGGAACATACCATAGGTATAATTATCAGCCCATTAACCCAGAGCTAAACTAGAAGAGCAATGAATGAAGAACTTGGCTGGCATCTGTGGACATCCCTTTGGCAGCAGAAATGAACTCACTAGGAAAAACTGTGTGACATTCACACGGCACAGTGCATGGGTACAGTCAACTTGTTTTAGTCAACATGCCAGACGTAGAAAAATAGGACAGACATGGGATCGATGCAACAAATCCTGCAGGTATCGACGAAGCAAAAACAAACAAGTGCTTTTGCGAGACAGAGTAAAAAAAAAACAATTCAGACGGAGGTGCATCAGTGACATGAAAGAGAAGCATGAGCAAGTTAGAGAGGCCAGGGTCAGTGTCATAGGTAGAGAGCAAAAGAAGCAAGCATTTATAGTGATTCATATCATGAGGAACAGATGGACTGAATCAATAAGACCTGCCCAGTCTTCTGACTCCTCCCCCAAAAAGGCCACTCCCCCTCTGCGAAACATTTATTGTTTAAATTACGTCAAAGTTAAATTATGTTACGGGGATTATTACTGGATCTTTGGGAGATTTAACATACTTTTAATCTATGTTGCTATTATATTATTATTATTATTACTCTAATTATTTTATTATATAATTATTACTCTTCTTTAATTTTGTGATTCTTACTCTTTGTTGCAAATACCATTGATGCAAAATTCTTACATGCGAGAAGGATCTGCAAGCTACAACATTTAGATTGTATCTCACTGCAGTGCCCCCTTGCATGAACAATTCAGGGTTTTTGCTGCATGATAGATAAAAAGACTAAAGTCATTCATGCAAGGTGAATCTGGTGGCAAGGGGGCGCGGCTGTCGCATTCAATCTCGTTCAATTTCAGCAGCACTCCCCTTCTTGTAATCATTCATAATTACAAGTTTAATGCACAGTGATGCATTTTATTACACAGTGTTACATGCATTAGATTGCGGGTGTGACGTGCGGGTGCACAACTGATTTCTCAACTTCTCCATTGTTGTCAAGGTGATTAATTATCTTTGATATAGTCACAGGTACTCATCTGATGTGGGCAGTTCTCTTACATCTTTAAAGAGATTATCTAGATTACTTCAGCAAATATTTGCAAGAATCAACAGTACAAACTGTAAAAATCTTCGTTCCCGCACGAATATTACAATATTTCTATCACACATCCATCAATGATGCAGACACTTCCCTGGAAGCGCTGGAGCTTTTTCCAGGTAGCACAGGGCACAATGCAGGGGACCCTGGACACCTGGTCCATTGCAGGGCACAATGCAGGGGACCCTGGACACCTGGTCCATTGCAGGGCACAATGCAGGGGACCCTGGACACCTGGTCTATTGCAGGGCACATGCATATGCAGTATTCTCTACATGGGGAATGTAGGGAAGCTGCATGGCTTTGGACTGAGAGAGAAAGTCTGCGGCACACAGGGAGAAAATGCAGACTCCACACGAACAGGAGTAGAACTCCAAACCCACCTGCATTTAAACGCATAATATTATCCTTTCAACATTACCCACATTCTTATAATTTATCAATAGGTAAAATCCCTTGCAATTATGCAGACAGAACAACAACAATAATACCTGTTTGATACATAGAGTAAGTATAGGTTAAAAAGCCTTTTCTATTTTTCTCAGTTACCTATCTACCTACGTAGGAAGCTATGTAATGTTTTATGTTTAGCTACACTCATTATTCCCATTTGAAAAGTATTGATGACTGGAATTCGGCATTATCATCAGTTTTGTGGGAATGCAACATAGCATCTCTGTTGGTCTGAATGGATGTTTTTACTATCTTTGTTTTAACCATGTAACTTTTTACTACAAGACTATTGGTTTATCTAGTAATTTAAAGTAGAAGCCAGATAATCAAAGAAATGCTCCCTTGCTCACCCCATCATGTGAAATGTGTAAGAAATTACTGTTATAATGATAAGAATGATTCTATTTATTTGCTGTTTGTGTGAGTCCATAGCAACAGGAACAGGAAGTACTTAGGAATTCCTTGGGTTTCACATATGCCATCTTACTCTCCTTATACAAGACACACAGATGCACAGGTACGAACAAAGATTTTGGTCAGGGCACACACAATCCGAGGTGAGGTATGCACGCCTGGACCATTCTATGGGGTTAAGGGCCTTGCTCATTCTCTTCATCTTCTTCCCGATGTCCGATATCCCCCCGTAGTCCAAAAACATGCATTTACACTGACAGGTAGATTATTATCACTCATCACTATGCACCTTATTTTCGCATAATTTTATCACCACAACAATTTGAGATATAATATTACATAAGTAGTGCTATATAAAGCATTGCATTATCCCTAAATTGAACAGAGTAATCCACTTCTGTACAGACAGCAGAGTGGATTGGGTAAAGCCCGTCACACCATGGGCAGATGGGTTCTTGGCAGAATCAACTGAATTAACTCAGCCCTGTGTTATCAAAAATGTATGTTTCTGCCAGACATATTTAATATTTTCTGCATTTGATATAAGGATGTCATAACCAAAGTTGCACTGATTAATAGCTGTGGGCATAACTTATAAGGGAATGCAGTCATAGCAGTAATTTTATATTCAGCTTAAATTCAGTTAGCACTGTATATCTCGCTGTATTTTCATTTTCATCCAAACCTTTCATTTCCTTCTGAAAAAAAACACAGGTTACCTAACAGGCTGGTAACATGTGATCAGAGTGCTGATCGCTACAGCAGTATCACAGAAATATTTCCAGTGGTACCATCAGCCAGGTCGTCCGCACTTCCAGTGCTGATGCTGAAGCCTCCTGTTTCCTAACTCTCCAGCATGGTCACTGAGAACCAGACCTCCCCAGCCTTGTTAAAATACCACCCATCAATGACTGGCAGCAATTCGCCCACCCTTCACCCAGAGAGATCCCCTGAATATCTGCTGAGAGGCTGAACACAGATACAGCGGTTGTCTTTAAAGAGCATCCTTAAATTGATCATAGCATATAAGCTTGGGTGCCACTGCCTGGTACCCAGAGTACAGGGTCACTGCGGTACAGCACTGGATAAGCAGAGGATGGAAGACGAAGTTGGATAGATGAAGTACTTGCTTGTATTATTAAACTATAATAATAATAATTTTAAAATTCATAACAATCCACCCATCTGTCTTGCATAACCATTTATCAAATACACAATAAACACAGCACA